TCCATGGGGGATTCATTCTAGCACCCCATCCCCCCATGCCAAAAGGGTAATCAAGTCCCTTAAATAAAATGATATATGCCTGGCATGGTGGCACACTCCTGTAATCCCAAGTACTCAGGAGGCTGAGGCAGGAAGATTGCAAGTTCAAGGCCAGTAGGTGCAACTTAGTAAAACCCTATCTCAAAATAAAATGAAAAGGGCTGGGGATGTAGCTCAGTGGTAGAGTGCAAGGCCCCAGGGTTCAATACACAGTACTACAAAAAGAAAAAGGTGTAGCATTACCATATAACCTGTATATAACTATCTGCTTACTTTAAATAATCTCTAGATTACTTATAATACCTAATACAAGGTGAATGCTATATAAGGGAATGTTCTACCATGTTATTTAGAGAATAATGACAAGAAAAATGTCTGGACATGCTCAGTACAGATGTAATCTTTTTTCCTGAATACTTATGATTCACAGTTGGTTGACTTTGCTGGTATGGAGGGCAGACTATATTTTAGTAATCTTTTTTGGAAACAAAATGGCCACTCTACCTAGTAGAGGACTAGGGAAAACAAATACACATGAAACATCACCTACTTCATTCTTAAACAACAAGTATTTATTAAATTGCTGCATGTAACACATTTTACCTTTGCATTGAAAGAAAGGGGAGGAGGATTAAATTATAATGGCTATAAATAAAAATAATGTTAATTATCTCCTACTAGATATGAAATCAAAATTATTATATGGAGCAAATATCAACTTATAAGGATGTAGAAGTCATAAAAATAGGTGGTGTGTCAGTCAGCTTCTCATTGCTATGACCCAAATACCTGACAAGAACAACTTAGAAGAGGAAAAGTTTATTTTGGCTCATGGTTTCAGAGGTCCCAGTACATGGTGATTCCATTGCCAAAGGGCCTGGTGGAGGAAAGCTTCTCAGTTCATCGCAGCCAGGAAGCAGAGTCAAAGAGACAGAAAGGGGCCAGGGACAGATATAGTCCCTAAAGCTATGTTCCCAGTGACCTACTTCCTTCAGCCATGCCCCATCTGCCTATTATTTTCACCACTCTCCACTAAATCCTTTCAAACTACTAATTTATCACATGGATCAATCCACTGATGAGGTCAGAGACTTCATGATCCAAATCTTTTCACCTGTGAACATTGCTGCATTGCCTGACACATGAGTTTTCTTGGGGACAATCCAGATCTAAACCATAACAGGTGGCTTCTAATTTATTCATTCAACAAATACTAGAAACTAAGTGCCCAGATGAGAGGAACCAAGTCTGATTTATTCTTCTTTGCATCTCAAGTGCCTAGAATAGTACACAACAGATCAAAAGTTATTGAATGAATAACTGTTGCAGGCCATATATATAAATTATGCTTTCTTTGAGCCATTAAGGCAGGGAGGCCACTCTTCTGGGAGCTCCTGGGTTGAAAACTCTAACAGAGAATGCCCCAATCCATTGTCCCCTGTGTTAGCTCACAACTTTAGGATCAAACAGCCTTTGGAGATGGGCGTAGCCTGCCAACTGTCAATCAACCTGTTTACTGTTAGACCCCTGCCACAGTAAGAAGCAAGCACCAAATAAGACTCCTCCCACTGAAACCTTATCCTTGCCTTTGATATATTCCCCCTTAAATAAAGAATTGGGGTCTTTTTCAGTTGTTCAGTGCCACTTCCTATCAGGACTGGAAGACCTACTCCACCTTTTAAATCTAATCTTTGGCTTTGTCTTATTTCTTACTGATTATTTCAGACTTTTTATTTTCCCAGGCAGCTCACATCTCCTGAGCAGGAACTTGCTCTGTTAGGGTGCTGGTCACCCTGTCATAAATAACTACTGTTATGGTTTGGATATGATGTATTCCCCAAATACAGGAATGGTCACAGGCAAAATGATTAGATCCTGAGAGCTAATCAGTAACCAGACAGTCCAGTCTTAGTTTGAATGGACTGACCAGGTGGTAACTCACTCACTCTCTGTCTCTCTCTCTCTCTCTCTCTGCTTCCTGACCCTGCCATGAACTGAGTAGCTTTTCCTCTGCTGGACCCTTTCCCCATGATGTGCTGGCTCACCTTGGACCCAGAGTAATGGAGTTGGCTGCCTATGGACTGAGCCCTTTGAAATCATGAGCCCTAAATAAACATTTCCTCCTATAAGTTCTTCTTGTCAGATATTTTGGTCACAGAGATGCAAAAGCTGACTAAAGCACCTATTGTGTGCCAGCCAGAATACTAGGAACAAAATGGACAGGATGCCTACCCCCAGTTTTCTATAGAAATCATGAGATAGGAATTTTGAATAAAGGGAAAGATATTGAGTCTCAAAGGAAGTGCCTATAAACATTGATATGCAGAAATAATTGCAGCTTCTTGGTGATGAGCCCTTGGCTGGCACCCTTGACCCATGCATGCCATCGTAACATTAAGACAATGTACAAGCACAGAGAAAATTTGCACAAAATTGTGCAGCTCCACCCTGCTTCCAGCTCTAATCCAGCCCTTAGTACCAGCCCTCTATAAATATTAACACCCCACATAAATGGTTTGCTATCTCCCTTGAATATGTTTTTCTTGCTTTACTCTAAATGCACTTCTCTCAAAATTGCCTCTTTGAATATGTATGTACTCTCTTAAATAAGTCTCTGTCTGTGCCTTTGACTTGCACACGCTGAAATTTTTTTCCGTCACTTATGCCAAGAACCCCACTGGTCCTGAGTCAAGTTCCCCCTTCTCTCTAGAAACTCCTCGGACTCTTCTTCAGAGACATGTCTTCTCCTGTACAATTCTACCTCTTCAAAATAATAAAAGCTTGAATTTTCCACCAGACTGTTATAGTCAGATTCTGATCTGCTGTGTCCAAAAGACCCAACAAGAACAACTTAAAGGAGGAACGTCTATTTTGGTTCACGGTTTCAGAAGTATCAAAGGTCTCCGAGATCTCAATCTACAGACTGTGGACTCCATAGCTCAGAGCCCAAAGTAAGGCAGAATATCATGGCTGAGGGGTGTGGTAGAGGAAAACAGTTCAAGACATAGCAGCCAGGAAGCAGATACAGAGCTCTGCTCACCAGGAACAAAATATAAACTCCAAAGCCAAGTCCCAGTGACCTACTTCCTCCAGCCACACCCTGTCTTCCTACAGTTCCCACCCAGTTAATCCGAATCAGTTGAGGATCTAATCATTTCACCTGTGAACATTCTCACATTACTTCACACATGTGCTTTTGGAGGACACCTTATACCTTAAGCACAAAATAGACTAACATCAAAGATAATAAAAAAAACTGATTTGGCTACTTATAATGATGACCCATAAAGCCTTCTCCACTTTTTTTTTTGTTTGTTTGGTTTTATTTTTAAGTTTTTCTCTTTCCACATTTTTATTGGGTACATTATAGTTGTACATAATGATGGGATTATTGCTACATATTTGTATGGGCACACAATATAACAATATAATTTGATCACTATCACTCCCCAGAACTGCCACCCTCCCTCCCTTCCTCCAGCCCCCTGGTCCTTTTCCTGTACTGATTTCCCTTGATTTTCATGGATCCCTGCCCCCTCTTCTTATCCTTGTTTCTCTCTAGTTTCCACATATGAGAGAAAACATAAGACCCTTGACCTTCTGAATTTGGTTTATTTGGCTTAACATAATGGTCTCTAGTTATATCCATTTTCCTGCAAATGACATAATTTCAGTGTTCTTTATGGCTGAATAAAACTCCATTGTGCATATCCATTTTCTTTATCCATTCATTTATTGATGGGCACCTAGGCTGGTTCCATAGTTTGGCTATTGTGAACTGTGCTGCTATAAACATGATATGCATGTATCACTATAGTATGGCGACTTCAATTCTTCAGGATAAATGCTAAATGAGGAATGGGTCCTCAAAAAATTAGGAATGTATCCACTAACTCTTATAACAATTCTGTGAGGTAGACAGGAACAATATTACCTGACCCCACTTCACACCTGGAATACTACTACAACACAGTAATTCTCGATTTCTGGTACTAAATTCTTTACATTCGTTATCTTATTGATTTCTCCTAATAACTCTGTATTATTATACTATTATTATACTATTATTTCCCTCTTTTCAGACTAGGTAATAACGAAGTTTAAGTAACAATGCCCAAGAGGACATTTATTGTTACAGGCAATGGGACCCCAGTGCTCTCTGCTGCAGAACACAAACAGCCAGTGGAAATGCAGAACTAGTTCAGGCCAGAAGACCTTTAACAGTATCTGATAGATTCCCAAAGGTGAAATTGTCTTAATCCCAGAGTTTGAAGATGAGAAGATTCTGGCTAACTGGCTTAAAAAAAAAATCCACCATAACAAACAATTTAACTACTGCAGTAATTTGGGGACAGAATACTTTCCTGGTATTTCCTCTGGAAGCAATGCTTACATTTAAATCAGGAACACTCAGAAGGAGGAGGCGGAATTTCGCCAAACCAAAACACAACCTCCTGCAATCTGAACCCATCTGGATGGTGACATCCCTGCTGGAAGCGGGTTGAGGCAAACAGGTTAAATCACAGGAATTAAATGGCACAAGAGCTGAAAGGGACCATGGAAATAATGGATGGATACCAGTGTGCAGCCCTTTCCGGAGGCAGTGAGACAGGATGTTCCCGGGCCTCCAGCAAAACATCTTGGTGCTAGAAGACATTCCCTCTTTCCTCTTTCTTTCACTTGCTTTCTCTTTCTCTCCCGCTGCCTTCGTCCTTCCTTTCCTTCGGTAAACACTTTTTAAAAACGTGATGAACCCTAAAGGCCTGGTCCAGCTGGTGTTAAATTTCTGTGGGAAGGGCATGAACCCGATTTCCCTGCGGATTAAAACATGATTAAATCAAGGTCGGCTCTTTCTCCCTCTCCTAGGCCAGGTCCCCGCCCCTGGGGTGAAGGACGTGCTAGCCCGGGTAAGGCAGTACCGCGGGGCTGGGGAGGTGCCTGGGTTGCTCCGGGGCAAATTGGGCAGGTCCGGGCAGCGCTGGGCTGCGCGGTCTCCCAGACAACGGACAGGCGGGCGGGGAACACACCACCCAGGGCCGGGCAGAGATCATGCAGCCTCTGGCACCATGACCGACTGCAGGCGGCTCTTGCGGTCGGGAACGCTGGCCCCGGTGCCCGAGCGCCGGTACTGCGGGCCCCGGTAAGCGGCGCGCGGAGGCCGCGCGAGGGCGCCTGGATCCCGTGCTCACGGGGCTGGGGCAGGGGCGCGGGGGGGGGGGGGTGGCCGATGGTGGCAGAGGGCGCCTAGCAAAGGACCCCTCCTTCCCTCATCCTCACAATTACCGAGGGGCTGTAGATTAACATCGCCAGCCAGATAGGAGACTGATGGCCACGGAGTCAACCGTGGAGGCTGCCCTAGCTGAGCCTTTGAGCTTCGATCCTCTAACCCACCCTTTCTTTCCTTCGTGGGCCGACTGTTTCACTGATGCCAAATTTACATCCAGTGTAAAGCATCAGCCGTACCTGGAGCCTTTGGCAATCCAACTGATGGCTCTAGCCAAGCCAAGCCCCTGGTGGGGTAATGAATCAGGTGCTGGGGAGGCCTCCTACCTTTTTGGAGGGTTCTTGTCACAGCCACTGTGGGCAGGAACATGAGACTTTTCCTTTTGCCAATTCATAAGAATTGCTTTTGGCTCACGATGGAGGCTGTTCCTAGTGACGGTTAAGATGCCAAAGTCTAGAATCAGAAAAGCCAGGTCTCCTCATGCTTGCCTGGTGACGTTAAGTAACTTAGCAGCTCCTTCTGGGCTCACTTTTCTTAACTGTGAAACGGGAACAATAAAAGGAATCAGCTTTATAGAATTGTTGGGGTGATTAAGGGAGGTAGCGCATGGAAACCTGTCACTGGCATATAGTATGCACTGTATATATGTTAGCAATTATGAACTCTTTGAGATTTTGGGTCCCTCTCCCCATTTACACTTTTTTTGTTGTTGTTTTGAAATAACTGTAGACTCACAAGAGATTGCAAAAAAAGTTCAGAGTTCCCACACATCCTTCCCCCTAGCTGCTTCCAAGGGTACTATCTTACATAACTATAATCCATTACCAAACCAGGAAATTGACATTGATATAACTTAGTAATTAGACTACAGACCTTCTCTGGATCACTGCAGTTTTTACTTACATTCCTGTGTGTGCATATAGCTCTGTGCATTGTCGTGTGTATACTGCAAGATGCAAAGTGTTTCATGACCACTGAGGAACCACTTTGTTCTATCCCCTTCTCATCACTCCTTTTCCCATCCCCCAGCCCTTGACAACCACAAATCTGTTCTCCATTTCTATAATTTTGTTCTTTTAAGAATGTTAGCTAAGTAGAATAATACAGTGTATAACCTTTTGATTTTGGCTCTTTTTCACTGGTCATAGATTCTTGAGATCCATCCAGGTTGTGTGTATCAACCATCTGTTCATTTTTGGTACTGCGTAGTGTTCTGTGTTATGGGTGTACCCCACTTTATCTAGTCACCTGTTGAGCAAATGCAGGTTGTTTCCAGTTTCTTTTTCTACTACCTATAAAGCTGCTGTGAACACTGTGTTAAGGTTTTTGAAAGAACTTAAGTTTTCATTTCTTAGGGTTAGGCATTTATCTCAGTGATAGAGTACTTACCTAACATGTGTGAGTGAGGCCCTGGGTTCAATCCCCAGTGCTGAAAAAAAAAAAAAGACCTTTTTTTTTTTTCTTTTTTTCATTTCTTTATGGTAAATTTCCAAAGTTCATTGCAATTATTATGGAAGGAACTAGCCATATGTCTTATACTAGTGTCTGTGAAAATAGTATTGGTTGGGGGAAAAAAATGTTGGGGGGAACTGGGGGATGTGGCTCAAGCGGTAGCCTGCTCGCCTGGCATGCGCGGGGCGCTGAGTTTGATCCTCAGCACCATTTAAAAATAAAATAAAGATGTTGTGCCCATAGAAAACTAAAAAATAAATATTAAAACAATTTTTTTTTCTCTCTCTCTCAAAAAAAAATGTTGGTTTTTTTTGGGTTTTGTTTTTTTGGTGGCACTAGGGATTGAATCCAGGGGTACTTGACCACTGAGCTACATTCCCAGTCCTTTTTGGTTTTTATTTTGAAATAGAGTCTTACTAACTTACTTAGGACCTTGCTAGGTTGCTGAGGCTGGCTTCCAACTTGAAATCCTCTTGCCTCAGCCTCCCAAGTTGCTGTGATTATGGGCATGCACTACTATGCATGGCAAAAAAGTGTTTTCAATTTTATGGGTCAAGCAAGATTTCCTGGGCTTAACAAAATACAGAGAGGTGACAGATGTCTATAATGCCAGTGACTCAGGAGGCTGAGGCAGGAGGATAACAAATTCAAGGCTAGCCTCAGCAACTTAGTGAGATTCCCATCTCAAAATTATAAATATATAAATAAGTAAGTCTGGGAATGTAGCTTAGTGTGAAGCACCCCTGGGTAAAATCCCCAGCACCCTTGTTCCCTACAAAATGCAGAGAAGTGAGCTCTTTAGCTCTATGAGGCTATGTGAAGTAGATGAAAGCACTCCCTCTAGCCTCACTCACCTCTCAGAACTGTTTTCTCATTGAAGGTGAAGAAGGTGGTCAAGATTTCTTTCAGGGTTTCTGCCAGCTCTAATGTTCTAAGAAGCCTGGACTAGGCACTCACATTTCCCATTTTGAATTGTATGGCTATGCTTAAGCAAAAACGTTTGTTGTCTGATTTGATTTTAAGAAGTGCTTGGATAGTTGAGTTAGTCATAAATATGTGGAAAATAAATGTGAAAATATTTAATAATGAGGAGGGTTACTTGCCAATAGGTCATGCTGAATGGGTTGTTAATCTCAAGCTTAGATGCAGTTTCAACACCCTTCTGCTTTTAGCTATCTGAGAGTGATTTATACAAGGCAGAGAGCAACGTTTTACAAGTCACCCTTTTGTGTCCTTTCATTTAAATTTTCACAATAGAGCTGGGTTAAGCCTTTACCACACACACACATATACACACACACATACTCACAGCAAATAAGAAGCTTCTAGTTTTCACCAGAAAAGAATAGGGTCAAGGCTAGAATCTCTTAAAAATGCTTAGTGGCTATGGTTACAGTAAGGATTAGATTAGGTGTAAAGAGCCATTTTTTTTTTGATAATAGGGAACTTCAGGTAGAAGAGGCTTCAGGAAAAGACACCAGTGCTCCACGAAGATCTGACCAAGGACCTGAGATGTGTTAGGAAAATCAGTGCTCAGGTTCCAAGTCCTGGCTTTGGCATTGGCTGGTTGTGTCAGGTTATAGAGGAGCTGGTTTCATGGCTTCCATCTCATCTTCATGACCTAAATACTCACTGCAAACAGGGGCCTGGTGGGTAAGGAAGCTGGCTGAAGCAGGCTGCTTAAGAGGCAGTAGGGAGAGGTGGAGGCTGGGAAGGAGACAGCATGTGATTTGCTTGAACTGGCAGCCATTAAGCCAATGGTGGCTCCATAGAAAGGTGGACCCAGTGTTCCCAGATCTTGGAAACTCTCCTGATTTTTCAAGAGGAGTTGGAGTTCTAGCTTGTTTATGTGAACATGTTTATATATTGGGAGCTCTAATGTAGTTGTTAAGCAGACTTTTCTGGTGCCACACTACCTGGATTAACATCGCAGCCTTACCACTCTTGAGCTGCTTGAGCTTTGACATGTGTGTTTTATCTTTTAACTTCTTGTGCCTCAGTTTTCTTATCTGTAAATGAAATAATAATAATATGAGATTTAAACATACCAATGCATATAAAGAACTTAGTTCAGTGCCTGTCATGTAGGAAGTGCTCGATATATGTTAATTATTATGATTCTTATTAAAACACAAAGAAGGCCAAGTGACAGAATTATGTGCCACCATCTTGCAGCCTTTTACCTCCTGAGTTTCAGGAGGAACCACAGACCCTAGAGGTTGTATAAAGTGCCAGTGTCACTAGGCTAATTAGAGGCTAATTTGTCACTGGGACCCAGATTCTTTCCACTCTACTACACTGTGTCGCATTTAGTGAAAACAAAGGGTCCCTGAAAGGGTCAGCAATTTGAGTGTCTTTCTTACAGAGTTCAAGACACAAGAATTCAAGAATGAATACAAGATGTGGTGGCAGTAGTTTGAATAATGGGTTAGACTTATACTTGGATGGGTCTTTAAAATACAGTGACATGGATGAGTCTTTGAAGTACAGTACTTTGTAAACAAGAAACAGAACAGTGTCTACCATTTAAGTAAATTAAAAATACATGCACATAAAAGGACAATTCAGATATTTCAATGAGGTATGAAAACAAAGAATGCACTTCAAATCTGTTAGAGTGGTTTTGCAGATGAGGGCAGTGGAGGTGACATATGAGGACAAGATGGAGTAAATAGAGCTAGATGTGGTGACGCACTCCTGTGGTCCCAGCAGCTTGAGAGGCTGAGGTGGGAGGGTGACTTGATCTCACAAGTTTGAGATCAACCTGGGCATCGTGGTGAGACCCTATCTTAAATTTTAAAATAGTAATAATAAGAGAATAAAGGAAGCTGGGGTGAGTCTTTGCACAAACCAGTGATACTGTGCCATGAACTTGGAGTATGATCCACTCAGCCTTCTTGTGAATACTTCTTCCCATAATCTCTCCCTTAGAAAGGTTGAGTCCAGCCTCCTTGAGATCTCCTTCTCCCATCCCAATCCTCTGGTCCATAAGATCTTACCTGGTGTCTTCTAGGTACAAAGAGCATCTGTCCTCCGGGTATTTCACTGTGCACAGAAGGCTGAAGTTCCCTAGATCCCTGAACAGCCAGCGCTGGGTGTTTGTGGGAGAGGGCCTGGACTTCAGGAAAGGCTGTCGGCCTTGTGGAGGTCTAATCGCTCAGGGCCCCAAGGAGAGCTTTCTGCCCATGATTCATCCTGGAGTCCCTCCACCACCTTCCAAGAAGAGATCGAATGAGCTGCCCAAGGAAGCATCCCTGCTCTCCAGGCTCTCGTGGGCCCAACGGGCTCGGAAGGCTTTTGTGGAGGATGTGGAAGCCCGCTTGGCTCTGCATCCCCTGGCTCTCCATCCCCACCTGGAAGAAGCCATGCCTGCCCAGGTGATCTGTCCCAGGGCTTGTGGGATGGGTTTCACGGGGGCCTTGGAGAAAATTCTCTGGAAATGCCCAGAGACTCTCCTTGAAGAGGGGACTCATTGATAAGAAGAAAAGAATGCCCCCCAGGGTGACATTCTCATGGGGCTCAGAGAAGCCTTCCTTTCTCTGCCCCCAAGAAACACAAACAGCACCAACACTTATCTTCTCCCTTCACTCCTATGAAACCATTTGACTTGCAAAGGTACAGCAAACCAAGACATTCTGACTTTCCCCCTCAATCTACTTTGCTTTGTGACTTTTGGGGAGAAGGAGAAATGGAGGGAATTGTTCATTCTTACTTCTGACCCATTAGCTTGGAGCTAGGAGGTGTCCTAAAGTACTTACGGGCAGATGGACACCACACATATAACCTGAAAGGTCATGGAGAAAATCTACCAGATCGTCAAAGCCAAGGCTGGCAGCAGCTCTGCCATGTCCCCAATGTCTTGACTTCTGATGTTCTGCTCCATACTCCTTAGCCTATGTCTCTTGTCCTTATATCTAAGAATGGCATTAAATCTGTCTTTCAAACCCAAAGGGGGAAGGGGCAAAGGTTAAAGGTACATGCCAGCTGACTCTGTCTCATAATGATGCACATAATAGCTTTCCCAGGAAACATCACTTCTGGCTCCTAGGGTGTCTAGAAATTGAGTTTCTTCGTTGAGCCTGCAACCTTGAACGAAACCCAGGTTCTGTTAGATTTGAGGAGAAAGGGCAGAATGGGAAGGGCAGAGCACTAGCAGTGCCAGCTCCCCCACGCCTACCCTCAAGCCTGTTCATGGTTCACAGAGGTAAATCCAATCATGTCACTTCCCTGCTCAAAAAAAAAAAAAAAAAAAAAAAAAAACCCTCTCATTTGGTAAAGCCAAAGTCCTTCCCTGGTCTGAGAGGCCCTGAGAGCTCCTGCTCTGTTCCCTCTCCACCTTCACGGCCTGCTCCTCTGCACTCACTCCATTCCAAGTTCTGTGAAACTTATGAGCATGTCTGGTCCCTGTTCTTGTGCCTAGATGACTTGTCCCTAGATGACTGCCTGGCTCTCTCCTTCGGCTCTTTGCTCAAATGTCCCCTTGTTGTAGAGGCCTGCACACAATAGCACTTCCCTTCCACCCTCACCCTTTGTTCCTCCCCAGGCTCTAGGTGTCATCATAGGTTTTGTCACCACTGGCTTCTCACTGTGAGCACAGGGACTTCACCTGTCTTTCATTGTGTATTACCAGTACTTGGCCTATGGTAGATGCTCAATAAATATTTTTAATGAGTAAGGGACTAGTGGCAGAGAAGTCCATTAAGAGAACAGCTGGAATTGCTGATCCATTCATTTCCACCTGGGGCTTTTCTTCACTGCCTCCTGTAGGCCCAAGATTCTGAATCCATAACAGAGAGATTGTTTGCACACACCTCAAATGGCACAGGGACATGGCATAGGATTATGGCTCTTATTTCCATGTCTGACCTCCCCATCTAAATATTTTGGCTTTTTTTTGAGGAACCTCTTTTTATGGTGCTAAGATGGCTACCAGCAGCTCCAGATTTAAATTCTACCCACCACAATCCCAGCAAAATCCTATGCATCCCACTTAATTGATAAGCCCATTCCTAAACCAGTCGCTGAGGTTCTGATTGACCTGACCTGCCTATAGAGTCAGGATGTGGTTAGGCTGATTCAGATCATATGGGTTGAGATGGAGGGAGAGGTGATTCTCCAAAGAACAAACCAGATGCTGTTATTCATGGGAGAAAGGATATGGGTTGGGCAGGCAAAAACCTCAGAAATTCTATGGAGACACTTTAACCCATGGGACCTTCGGGGATGGGGTAGATCCAGCGGCATATTCCATCTAGAGGAGGTGGGACTGCTATAGTACAAAGCCTGTACACCTCCTGTCGAGGTGATGAGAGATTTGTCCACAGCACTCCACAAAGTACTTGGCACAGAACTCGATAGATGGCATTGGTTGACTGAAAAGGGCAAACAAAGGGGCCAGTAGGTCTGTTTTGCTTTAGAATAGGGGCCCCCTTGCCAGCACCTTTTTCTTTCTTGCTAAGGCTTTTTGTGTTTGTAGCTCTTATTACAGGTGCTGGAAGTGCTTGATCCTGAGAGGAAGCTGGAGGATACTTGGGCTTATTGTCAGGACACCAAGAAAGGAACAAAGGAGCCCACAAAGCTTTTTAAAAACTGTTCTACCCAAGTGTGCCTGAGACTGTGAGTGTTCTTCTTCACCCCTCGCTTGTGGTTGTCACCTGAAAAAACATTGTAGAAATTACCTTCTCGAAGCTTTTCATCTTTAGAATAATCTTGAAGAAGCAAAATAACTAAGCTCTTAAGGAGGAAGGAAAAGTGTCCAGGGTCCTGCTCTGAACAGTGCTGATTTCTTAAATGAATATGATTTATTTAGCAATGGTGCAAACATCGGTGTCCACATGACTCTTGTTCAACAAGAGAACAGCAAAAAGCCTGACTAATTGGTATATAATGGTTCTTGAATTATCTATAGCAGGAGCCCTTTTACTCAACATTACTGAGGCCAGTAGATAATTGTATAATCACCAAAATAATTAATAAGGAAGTGTAAAGGATGATTAATAAGGAAGTGTAAAGGATGATTTTCTCCTAAAGCATAAGTTTACATTCACTTGCTAATCTTAATATAAAGCCTTTTGGCAAAGTATACTGCTTGAAGTTTCCACTCATTTTTCTTGCATAAACCACACATTGAAAATTTCCAAAGACTTACACTTAGTAGAAACATCTCTATTTTGTATCACATTCTTGTTTCCCCAATTCACCTAATATTTAATTAAATAATGTAAACACCATGATAAGTATAGTTGACATAAATGAATTTGGGATACATATTTGGCTTTTAAAACTCAATGAGCTCACTGGGGTGTGTTGTAGATGGGGGAGAACTATCTAGCAGCCTAGCCACAGAACCCATAATGTTTACAGCTTTGGAGACCCTGGTTATTGTGCTCAGTAGTGGCCTGAAGAGCTCTGTCAGTCACACAAGTTACCTACATGGAGGTGGATTAAGAGAGAATACAGTGTATTGAATCATATGTTTGTTGACCTAAGGTGATAGGTGTTCTACTGTAGTGACATTTTTGGCTCTTCAGTCTACTCCTTGATGAATTTTGGGAGAACAACTGGGCATGCTCACCTCAGTTTTCCCCCTCTTCCACTGGGAAGCAAGAAGGCCCATGTGAAGCACAGGTTCTTGTTCCTCCACCCTAGAGGGGAAGTCGACACTCATCCGGCCCTGCTGGGAACTGTGTGGGAGAGTCCACCAGTATCTGAATTTCAGTTAGCAAGCCCTCTTGGATCTAAAGCCATCATCCAACATGGCTGCTATTAGTAATAAAGGTGATATTTTGACTTTTGTCTTTGGTCTTTGTATTATTTTTCAAATTGCTCAGAACCTGAGTATAGAAGGGAGAGGAGTATTATATGTAAAGATCTATGATAAAATAAGAAATATACATATAGGATCTGCCTTTCACTTTGGGCAGTTTCCTTGTTGAATCCTGCAAAAATCTCTTGGCAAGAAATTACAAATGAATGGATTATCTACTTGAAAGAGGAGAAGGTAAAATACAGAGGAAATGAATAATACTACAATGTTAATAAATTATGGTATCACAACATAAGTGCATAACTACATAATGGTGAATTTTTTCTGTAAGCATATGATCCATTTCCTTTAGATAATATAAAAATTGAACATAAACTTTTTGGCTAAAAACAGAACTGTATTATGTCACAGCTCTGGAGGCCAGACATCTGAAATAAGAATCACTGTGCTGAAATAAAAAATGAGCAGGGTCATGATCCCTCCAGGGCTCCAGGGGATCTCTTACCTCCTCCAGCTTCTGGTGGCTGCTGGCATTCCTTGGCTTTGGCCACATCATACCAGTGTTCAAGACCAGCAGCTTCAAGTCTGTCTGCTCTGTCTTCACATTGCCTTCTCCTTTGTGTGTGTCAAGTCTTCCTCTGCCCCTCTTACAAGGACAATTATAGTGGCATTTAAGGCCCACCCAGATAATCCAGGATAATCTCCCCATCTCAAATGCTTTAACTGAATCATATCTGCAAAGACTCTTTCCAAATAAAGTTACACGAGTTCCAAGGATTAGCACCTTCTCTCTTTGGAGGCCATTATCAGCCTGCCACAGCATGAGGTGATATCTCCCATCTTGAAGACAACTGCCCTTGACCAGAACCAGACAAACACACTTCCCTTTTTTTTCCTGTCTTTTGAAATCACAGCAATCAGGCTTTTATCTCTAGCACTCACTCTCTGGACTTGCTTAGTTAAGGTCATGATTGAACTAGACCCGTCTTCAGTGATCAACACCCTTGATGTATCAATAGCCATTGACACAGTTAATGACATCATCTTTCTCATAAGACTTTCTTCATTTGGCTTCTGGAATACTCTTTTCTTAGTGTTTCTTCTACCTCATGGTCCTCTCTTTGGTCTTCGTTTCCTTTTCCCTCTTCATTTCCTTTAAAGCTGGAAGTGCTTCGGTCTCTGACATCTTCTGTTCTGTATACTCACACCCAAGTGACCTTGTCCAGTCCCTCTATTTATAGATAATTCAATATTTTCCCTTGGGTGTATAATTGGCAGCTCAAACTAGACAAGTCTGAAACTGAACTCTAGATTTCTCCCTGAAACCTGTTCCTGCTCCTGTCTTCTTCAGCTCAATAAATAAATATTTATTGAGGGTTCCATTTAATGGGGTTCCATTCTTCCCATTGTTTCTAGAACAACAGATGCAATCTGCCAAAAAATATTAATGTCTTTATTTTTGAGATCCAAAATCTCACCTCTCTACTACTTCTAGTTCATTCCAAGATACCATCATCTCTTGCCTGGATTATTGCAATAGTTTATCAGTTGGTCTTATGCCCTCCACCCTTGCTCCCCTTTCAAATCTGTTTGTCACGTAATAGCTAAAATGATCCTTTAAGTTGGGTAGTGCCATTCCTTCGCTTAGAATTCTCCAGTTGCATACTTACTCAGGGCAAAACCCAAATACAGTGGCCTTTAAGGTCCCATATGATCAGGCCTCTGTTAACTCCCAGGCCTCCTCCTCTTCTACTCTAATCCTTAACCACTCCTCTCCAGTTATACTGGTCTCTGCTGATCCTGAACATTCTCATCACACCCCCACCTCAGGGTCCATGCACAGGCCTGTCTTTTCTGCCTGGTGTTCGCATGATTCCATATTTCATGGTTTGACCTTTCTTATTTTGGATCTCTGTTCAGCTATCACTGTAGTAAAGAGACTTTCTGTGTTGAAATGCCATCTGCCACCCCTCTCCATCCCTTTTGCCCCATTTTATTTTTCTTTATATCACTTGTAATCACTTATAAAGACATATGCTTATGTATTTTCTATTTTTGCCTCTTACTCAATCATAAGCTTTTTGAGGACAGGGACCTGACTTATTTATAGCTAATTCCTGATATTTAATGACTGCCTGACACATATTTGGCGCTTAATAAGTATTTCTTAAATATAGCAAAGGATAATTAATGCCTCAAATAGTAACTATTTGGTGATCTCATTATCTTTAGTCCCAAGAAGACTCCTATGTCACATTCAGGCCAGTGGCTTTATGAAGAAAAGCCAAGTAAAACAGATGTGCTCCATGAAGATGGTCCTCTTCTGCATGAAAATGTACGCAGAGAAGTTAGTGACTTCTGCAAGTGGGCTACCACTCTTGTAAGTTAGCAGGAATACTTAAACCTACTTGAAAAAGTCAATCTCAAAGTTGCTTTCATTCAAAAACACTGTTTGAATAAAATATAAATCAAATCATCCAAGTCATAAAGGAATAAGTCTTTTCTGTCATTTGTAATAGAAATACTTCTGGTAGTGAAATTTCTGGAGTTTGCAAGCTTGCAGCTAATTTAAACATTTATGTTTATATCTCACGTCATTGATATGAAAATTTTTTTTTATTTTCCATTTCAATGTCAGGAACTTATTTTCTCTCCTTTATTCCTTCTCTAATCCATGCCTCTGAGTTATATTTATTTCTAAGTACTTGGGCAGCTGTGCTTGACTGTAAACTTTACAAAATGTTTTTAGACAGGAAGAGACTTTTGACTCAGTTATCAAGGACTTTCCTTGCCCTCCTTCAAGAATCTATTAGGGAGCGGGACAGGAGGGAAAAGGGGCAATCATGAACTGAAATCAATTTCCATGCATGTCTGAGTTTGTTGGAATAAACCCAACTATATGTAACCATGTAGATCTAACTTTAAAAAAAGAACCTAGTAAGTTACTTATTTCTCTCTCTGAGTCTCTGTAGATGTTTACTTTACTGATGCTTTCCATGGATTTAAGGCCTTCCAGTATTTATTACCAACCCTGCCACCATGTTTTGAGTGTATTAGTTGGTTTTAGTTAGTGTATTTATTTATCACAGTTTCCTTCGCTAGTGACTACCCTCCAGACCCCAGTATAATTCTGACTGGTTTAAAAGAGAAAAGGGAATTTAACCAGAGGCATTAGGAGGTTGGGCCACAGCTGGATGCAGGTGCTGAAATGTTTTTAGAGGCTGTCCCTATCTTTCCTGCACCCCTCTGTCTTACTTCATCTGCAAGCAGTCTTTCCCCAAGAGATGCCAAAAACAGTCATTAAAATTTCCAAGCTTATGTTCTACCAGTGAACAACTAAGTGGGAAGAAAGTAACCTCTTTTCTTTTTTAAAAATATTTATTTTATTTCTTAGTTTTAGGTGGACACAATATCTTTATTTTACATTTATGTGGTTCTGAGGATCAAACCCAGTGCCTCATGCATGCTAGGTGAGCACTCCACCACTGAGCCACAACCCCAGCCCATAACCTTTTTTCAATAGGGAAAAGTTCAGGGCTGAAACTAACTTGGGTCATATGCCTGTGCCTGAATTAACCACTCTGATTAAGAAAATGGAGAATACTCATTGGCTAGGTCGGGTCACATGTCTAACCCTGAGGCCAAGAAATGAGGGTGTCCATCTCAGCTACAGCAGATGGAAAAGGAGGGAGAGATGTCCTGTCACACGACTAAACTGGTCAGCATCATTCCAAGTGAATTTGGGGACTAAATAAAGGCAGAGACACAGAAAGTACCTTTTCTTGGGGTTCAGTGACCACTCCTCAGCCGCAGCTCCAACAAGGGGGGCAAGGCAGGCAAGAAAGAGAGCAAGGAGCACGTGCTCAACCCTTTTATTGGGGAGAAGCCATTCAAATGAGGCAAGGGGTCAGGTTTCAGGGGGTTGAGTCTAGCTTCCTGAGGTCTTGCTGTCATAGATTGACTGACATCTAGGAAGGCCACACCCATCTCATGTGCTATGTGAGGATCATAGGCAGAGTGAGTAAAAAGGCAGGACCCTGCCCACCCAAACAGAGGGGCAACATTGGTTCAGTCCACCCTGTGCGCTCAATGCTCAAAGAGTTCAAGCACATACAGCCCATGGCTGGCTTGCCATATCTCCACACTCTTATCGCTCAAAGCTAGGGGGCGCTGGATTCCCATGTGGTAGCTCCCAACAGGGGAAAGCTCCCCAGCAGGTGATTGGAATAAAGGTGCTAGAGAAGGTAAATGATGTCCACTATACCTGGTGCCTGCACTACTGCTTCTTCATAATCTTGCTAATTTCCAGCCCTTCAGCCTCTCCTGTCCTTCCACTGGAGATAACTCCTTTAGGCAGGAAATTTGAAGAACCTTAGATTGGTAGACAGTTGATCAGGTAAACAGCCTTCTTTGTGTTCCTTTATGACCAAGATCCCATCTTCACCTAAATTCTACAACTTAGGTCCTCATGAAATCACCCTGTGGTATTTTCTTCACAACTAACTCAAGCTTTTTCCTTTTATGCTATTTGGTTTTCGTCTCATTGATACTGCTTGCTGTGATTCTGCTCCATTCTCATTTCATCCTCATTCTGATTCCACTCATCTTTTATGCCCGACTGTTTCTGGACTTCTCTTATGCTCTCCACTCCACCTTCAGCTCCAGTCGTTAATATCCTCATTCTGTTTCCCAATTTTCTCCTCCAGAGTGGGATTCTGTTAGTCTAATTTATCTTTCAGCATTAACTGTATCATAGGTTAAGAGAGTACAGATTAGCTGTTCTTAATGTGCTCACCTCTCCTCCCTCCACCTACAGCTGGGGGAAGAAATGGAGAGGTTGTTCTGAGTATGGCTGAAACATGGCTGACTAGAACTGCCTCTTTCCCCTGGGGCCACGAGGAAGGCATATTTCCTTATAAGGGTATGTGGACAAAACAAGCACTGCCACATCTAGATGCATCTGGAAAATCCCTCTAGATAAGTCACTGCTATGAAGTGTTGGAGAGGTTTGCTTTTGATCAAACAGACATTATTTCCCCCAGAGACTTCCTGCAGGTCCTAAGTGGTCTCTTAATGTACTGACAAAGCCCTCCAGTCCCAAATACTTCTTGTCTGCAGTGAGTGATGACTGAGCAATTTTTCCCCCTCTCTTGGAACTTCCCCAGCAGTGGCCAGAAACCTCCCTTAGATGAAAGGAGAAAGCAAGGAGTATTTTATCGCTGCCCTCCATTCATGCTTGTGGTATTTTTCTAGGGAAGTTCAAACATCGATGAAGAGTTCATCTTGAAACAGTTTGACCTTGGCTATCAGAGCAAACCACCCTGTGATGTGCTGCGTGTGATGAGGCTAAACCAGGTTCCTTTGGAGTTGAAGAAGAGTGTGGGGCTAAATAAGCTGCAGGAGGCAGATTTCTTCCAGAAACGAGATCATGAGAGGACACAACGGAAACCACAGGTGATTGCAGAAAAAGAGTAGCCTGAAAATTTAAGAAAATAAGTTGCAGTAAAGTCTTAAAAGTTCCTGAATTCTGGTAATTCAGGGGTACTGGCTTTTTAAAGCAGAATTCTTAAGATATTTTCATGTTTAATAAATATTTGATAAATGAGTGAATATTTAATACATATAACAAAGTCAGTTATTCAAATAAGACATGTCATTCAGAATTATTGTTCATATCTGAATAGTCATTTTCAGAGACAAAATTTTTAATGTGTTTTATACATTGAAGTTCTAACAACTAGAAGAAATATGCATGAATGTCTGTTATTCATGAGCATTATGATTGTGAACTCTTGTTAATTTTATGCCCAAAGAATTCTTGAATTTTTACCAGCATCTTATAGACCACAAACCATCATTCTGACCACATGCTTTCCTAATCATTAGCAAATCACTCAGGTTCCTCACCCTTCAGTTGCTATGCAGATGAAAAAATAAGGCAACAGAAAGGAGAAATAGCATGCCATGCTCGGAAGGGAAGTACTCTGAGCTTTTAGAATACTTTTTAAATTTTTTTACCTAATGTGTCAGTACAAATATATATATATATATATATATATATCAAATTGTGCACATCAACAAGAGACTTAAGTGCCTAAATTGGGTGGGTACTGGTGTGTTAGATTTTTTTCCTGTGACAAAACACAGAAGAACCCCTTCAAGGAGAAGAGATTTATTTTGGCTCACAGTTTCAGAGGGTTGAGGTCAAGGTGGGCTGGCTCCATTGCTATGAGCCTTCGGTGAGGCAGAACATCGTGGTGGAGATGGCACAGTGGAGCAGAGTCACTTACCTCAAGCAGCCAGGAAGCGAAAAGATAGAGAAGAAGATGCTAAGAAAAAGAACTACCCTTCTAGGCCCTGCCCCCAGTGGCTTACTTTTCTCCAGCCATCCCCCACCATCTATAATTGTCCACCACCTCCCTTTCATCCATTCAGCTATCAATGGATTAATCTGCAGTGATCAATGGATTTATCTGCTGATTGAGTCAGAGTTCCACCTGTGAACATTGCTGCATTGAAGATCAACAAAGGAGCCTTTCAGAAACATTCCAGCTCTAAACTATAAGGGGGAATCTTTTCCCTCAAAGTCTTAAAAACATCAGTGCTGGGGTTGTGGCTCAGTGGTAGAGCGCTCGCTTAGCACGCTTAAGGCATTGAGTTTGATCCTCAGTACCACATAAAAATAAATTAATTAAATAAAGGTATTGTGTCTACCTACAACTAAAAGTATTTTTAAGAAAGTCTTAAAAAAATCAACAGTTAACCAACAGCATAATATATTTTACCTGAAATGAGTTTATCTGCTCTCTTAATCTTTTGAATATATAATACAGTTTTAATGATTACTTTGATGTTCTTATATGCTAATTTTAACATCTGTGTATGTTCTGTGTCAGTTTCCATTAATTGATTTATGTCCTCATTGTGGCTTATGTTTTTCTGCATCTCTACATATTTGGTGATCTTTGAGTAGATGCTAGGCATTGTGAATTTTACCTTACTGGGTGTTGGGTACTTTTGTATTTTTGTAAATATTTTTTAAAATTTATTATGGGATTTTTTTGGAGGAATCTGTTCCTTTGGGAGCTTGCTTTTAAGATTTATTGGGACTGGATATGAAGCTCAGTGGTAGAGCTCTTGCTTAGCATGTGCAACGCTTTGGGTTCCATCTCCAACACCAGCAATAAATAAATAAATAAATAAATAAATAAATAAATAAATAAGATTTACCAGAGCAGTGTTCAATCTATGGCTAATTGTTCCCTACTACTGAGCAAGACCCTCAGGTGTATTCTTCCAAGTGTCCTGTGAATCATTAGGTTTTCCATTAGGTTTTTTTTTTTAAAGCCACTGATCCTGCCTGTGCAAATACGAGACACTGTGTTAGTTCTGTCTCTCTGTATCTTTCTCCTCTCTCTTACTCTGTGTGGTAAAATAAGTTTGCCTTGGTCTCCCTGGACTCTCAATTCTATCTCCTCAATTCAAAGAGGACACTGGTTGCTCCTGGCTAGGCCTCTCCTCTCTTTGTGTGACCTGCAAACCCTTTCAAGGCAACACACTGGTGGCAATTATGGGGCTTAGTTTGTTTGTTGCTTGTCTCTCAGGGACCAATGTCCTTCTGTTACCTGAGGTTCACTGTCATGCAAATCATTAGCCTGCTTCTCTCCCTCTTTCTTTCTCTCTCTCTCTCTCTCTCTCTCTCTCTCTCTCTCTCTCTCTCTCTCTCTCTCTCTGTCTTTGTTTTTAAGATGCTGTAAGTAGGAGGATAAACCCTATTCCTATTCTGGAAGTGGAAGTCCTCATCTTTATCTTTCTATTCCTTGTAGTATTCTCAGGACTGCTATGATCTGCCCTTTGATATTCTTTGAAACTCTGAGCTTCCCACTGCCTTAACCTTCTCCTAGTATTCTCTATGTCTGAAGTTCCCCTTCAATGCTTTCTCTTCCTTTAGATACAGGGTATATGCTGATTTTTCCATGGATTATTGGCCATGGAGTTTTGTCTCCTGACATAAATTTATTTCTTACTTCTAATCCCTCATAGAATTCTGTGCCTTTAATTTAACATTATTTTTCTTTGCCAGGTATATCAACTCATCCATTCCTTTATGTATTACTTAATAAACACTTCTGAGAATCTGTGTGTCCAAAAGAGCTAGGAACAAATGACATAAAACTAGAGGACTACTTCCTGCAGTTAGGAATTTACAGTCTAGTGGGGTCAACAGGTAAATGACTGACTATAACAAAATATCATCTGTGCACAGAACATAGGAAGAAATATTCAATTCCACCAATCATGGGGTGAGGACAGTTTCAGTAAGGCTTCAGAGAAGCCTTTAAAAAAAAACACCAGTTAATCAACAATGTAATATATTCTAGAACTTAGGTTCTGCAGTGTGGCAGTGGTGTAGACTCCATTCTTCTCTCTCTCCTTCCTCCTTTCCCCCTATCTTCCCTTTCGGCCTTCCTTTAATTCAATGGTTCCAGGTTGAGGAAGACTTTGCTCCCTCCCCTCTCTTCCAAGGACTATTTGGAAATGTTTGGAGATGATATTTTTGGTTTTTGCAACACAGAGGGTGCTGCTGGCCTCTTGTGGGTATAGGCCAGGAATTCTGCTAAACATCCTTCAACGTATAGGTCCGCCACACCCTGCCCCCTAAAGAATGATCTAATCCCAAATGTTAATAGTATTGAAGTTAAGAAACCTGACTTTAATTCAACAAAAATTTATTGAGCACCTATTATTTCCTCTCAGTGTTGTTCTAGCTGTCAGGAAGACATAGCAGGGAGCAATCTCCAAAGCTTACATTTTAGAGGGTGAGAAGAGACACAATTTTTAAAGAAATATGGCATATCAAATAGTGATAAATGCCATTAAGAAAAATGAGGCAGGGAGAGAAGGCAAGGAGTGTTGTGAGGGGGTTGCCATTTTAAAATTGGACTGTCAGGGAAGATCCACTGGAAAGATGACATGAGTTGGTAAAGGAGTGAGCTGTGTGAGTCTCTTAGGGAACAACATTATAGCAGAGGGAATAATGAGTGGAAGGGCACTGATCCAGCAGTGTGGCAGGTATGCTCCAGAAACCTCAAGGAGGTGAGGATATTGCAATAGCGCGTCAAATCCAGCTCTCGGTGGGACTTCCCTCCTGTCTGCTCTGTCCGATTCTGTCTTAGACATGAATTGCTGGCTCAATTCTAGAATGCCCCACCCAATCCAACATACAGTTTAAATGTGAGTGAGAGGGGAGAGAGACTTTGTGGCTTCATGTTTCTTTGCCCCTTCCAAGAATTAAACCCCCTTTTGTGATGGGATAGCATGTGGTGAGTGTTGCACCATCTGGCAAGAGGTTCTCTTCACATTCTGCTGAGGGATGGCGGGAAGAAAGGTGTGAGTTTAATACAATATAGTGCAACACTTGAAAAGCCGGGCAGAGTGCAGGGCCTATGGTGAGTCTAATAATAATATTTATGACTGGGTGTTGTTCAAGATCATTACCCTTGGGCAAAATATGTTATTTTTACTTGATTCCTAACTGCCTTACATATATTTTCTTTGTGATTGACTACTATTGTTATCTTCATTTCACTCATGAAGAGTTTAACCAGCCCATGAACATGAGTCTACAAATTTTGAGTCCGAAAATACTTAGAGAAGACAGGATTTGAACTGAGATCTGTCCAAATTTAAAGACCATGTTCTTAGCTAATACATTATTTTCTCAATTATGAACTTTTCATATTTCTTTTGTAAAATTAAAATATGCTGAAACTTTATAAAATACTTTGGCCAAGACCAACTATAAATTCAAAGTAATGATCCTGCTTTCCTAAGCAGAACCTTAGATGTATTGCAATGACAAAACAAAAACATTAACTTTTGACACTGTGAATTATGTTATTTCCCATAGAATCCTTATAAACCAAAGCCGGTGAAGATGAGGTATGGAGCATGGTATTTGAACACCAACTTATGGAAAAAGCAAAGAGCAGATGAACCTTTGGTTGATCCCAGAGTTTCATCTAAATCTCAGGATGAGAATTTTAAAAAGAAGCTACAGGACCAGGTATGTAGGTATGCTGAGACTTGATCCTCTGAGTTAAGGATGATCACAGGGTCTCTGGTGGAACACTGAGGCTCTGTAAAGTCCTATAGCTTGCATATTGAATTCAGCACTGAGAAAGGCTGGTAATACTGTGGGAAATGGGTGATAGGCAAGTCCTGAACCCTCCTAGCTGGGTGGTAAACACAATGTCTCTAAAGATGGGACCACCACTCAGCTCACTCCTTCCATTTTGGAACAATTGATTCTATGAATAATTATTCAAAGGGCAGTTGACATGGTAGGACCACCTCAGTCCTTAGAATCGATGTGCTGTCTTGGAGGCTTTTGGGTTACTAAGGGGGACGCTTGCTTCCTATCAGTAATGGATGATTGTCCAAAAATACAAAATTGCAACTGGGAAAATTCTTTTTTGCAATTTAGCAAAGCTACAAGTTCTGTCTGAGAGGAAAGGGACAAGGATTAAGCACTAATATTGCAAAGCAACAAACACATACAACAAATAAACTGTGCCTGCCCACCTCTGTGTACAAGTATCTAATGAAGAAGATAGTCAACATTGTTCTGGATATTTGGAAATGTGGATGCAACACTTGCACAGGATTCTGATGAGAATGTTCATGAACATATTCTCTTTTCAACATACCCCAAACTTCTCCAAGATAACAGATGTGAAAACACTCGGGAAAAGCAAAATGTTGTACATATTTGGTTATCATTCATGAATAATCACTCATCAGTTTTCTCCTTTAGATCAGAAAACTAAGACAGGAACAATGGTCATTTTTATCTTTTTCATAAAAGATAATTCTTATTTTTTAAGAGAGAGAATTTTTAAATATTTAGTTTTTAGTTTTCGGTGGACACAACATCTTTATTTTATTTTTATGTGGTGCTGAGGATCGAACCCAGTGCCCTGTGCATGCCAGGCGAGCGTGCTACCTCTTGAGCGACATCCCCAGCCCAATAATTCTTATTTTGTATGATGTGTAACACAAATTTATGAGCACAACATGCTTATGTAAGTTTCAAAATAATGTGAATAATGGTTAGCAGAACTTATCAGGGTATGGTTTTTGGAACTGCCTAAGTCTATGGGAGTTTAATATATAACATAAAATTATTCGAGGCATATTTTTTAAAATAATGAAAAGTTATCAATGAATTAAATATTTTAAAACACAAATAGTTACATACTTTTGATTTAAGGTGTCTAGAAATTTTCTTTTTAAAAATTTCTTAAATATTAATTCTTAAAGACTTAAAGAATTCTCTAAAACATATTTCATTTTGATGGCAAAAGCTAGAAAAGGTGTTTGCCAAAATGGTTACAGTCAGCTAATGAAAAAGGAACATCATTTAAATTTTGAGAATATGGTTGATATAACTATTATAGTAAAAAATTGTTTATCAAGAAGTTTACATAAGGAGGATTCAAAACAATGGAATTGTTCTACAACTATTTTCATAAATCACACTTTTGCAATACCCCAAGGATGGTTTACCCCATACACTCTAAGTTGATGCTATAGCCTTTTCAGGACATAGGTGCTATGGTGTACTGGCAGCTGGCAGTCACTACAGTCACACAACTGTCTTGTAGAAACACAAGAATTTTGACCATCCTTGATTGACTGGGTTTGGAAGGTAAAATGCTCTTCTAGTATGGCATTGCAGTTGCATAAACTTATACATACAATTTTAAAATTTTGAATAAATGAAAGGATGCTTGCATATTGAAAGGATGTTGAGGCTAGATCAAGCCTTCTTTTTATTGTCATGCCCTTTGGAGTTAAGATCTATAAATTGTGGACATAATGTTAGTCTCAAATAGCTTAGGTTCCAGACATCTTCCTTCAATAATTGTCTTAATTGCTAAAATGTGTTGTTTATCCTTAATACAAGGGTGATATAAAGGATGAGGAAGAAAAGTTGCATGTCTTTGAAAACCTTCATTTTCATCAACTCATGGACGTTATTTATATACATAATTAGAAATAAGAAGGAGTGGTTTCAAATGAGGCACTTTATAAAGAGCTGCTGACCAGGTTCTTTAAATGTCCTTTAAAATCCTCTTTTAGGAAGAGGAGTTTCTTGCAGACCTTCATGGAATAGATGCCTTTAAGGATTTCATCCTACTCAGGGGCTACAGGATGCCCAGGGTGAGTACATTGGGCAAAGCCCTGTTGAGGGCTTCACGGCTCCAGTTGTTGGCAGGAAGGCGTTATTACCCCAACAGAATCTTAGTGCTTCTACAGGCATCTTCCAAGACTCGCACCCTTGGAGGAAAGATCATGCTTCTCTATAGACAGGGACCCAGAGACAGGAGGCAGCATTTTGCCCTTTTTATTTTGCCTTGGTTTCTGCTACTGTCAGAGGTGCCTTGTCTCTCTGCTGTCTCACTTTCCATAGGTTTGGTCTCAGTGGGACTCAAGTGAAAGAGGTCTGTGTACAGGGCATATGCTTTGCAAATTCTGACTGTTAGTAAAACACACTGAGTTTTTTAGGATGTTTCTGAATCTCCTTTATTTCCAGGTCTAAGAATAAAGAGCTGTGGCTTAAGATAGAGTTGAGATCTGCTATTTTGTCACTGTTGTGCAAGGTCTCCCTCGAGTGGAAAAGGACTAGGACCAAAGATTACCTCTTGGGGCCTGTCAGAGTCTGATGCCTCTTTTCCCTTTCTTATCTTCTGCCTTTTGAGTTCTGTTCCTTTAAATTGTAAAGCTGGCTCCAGCCTCTTCCCATGGATAATCCTGATACTACACCCCTTAGAAGACACAGGGGAGGTCAGCAGAGAGGACAGTTCAGCAGGAGAGTCTGCAGTCTGGATTTGGGTACCCAGACCACTCCTGTAACCACAGCAGATTTGGGACCAAAGTTGTAGCTAATAATTTGTCCTCTGTCTTTTATGGACATCCCTTAGGGTCATTAGAGGGCAGTGCAGCCAAGATGGTCAGGCGTTCCTAGACATGGAAATTAGATTTTTTTCCCCCAAGGATGATAGAACTAACAATGGCTTATGCTTACTGACAAATAAGTGTACATATTGACCATGTTCAGAGCCATATTTGTTTCAGAGTTAGAGGAGACAAGTTTAGAGGTGGAGATGTGGGATTAGAAGACTCCATTATAGAATTGCAGTGGTGTCCTTTAGCTCTGAACATCAATACTAGGCCAGCAAGGTATGCTTAATATATTTATACAAATAGTTTTATACTTATATATAGTAATGATAGCTGTACATAAGGTTCACATAAATATATCTCTACAGATTTATATGTAGAATACATATTTTTATTTTATTTAATATATTTTATATGTTCATAATTGAAACATACATAACATACAGATATATAATTATGTGATTATATATATATATATATATATATATATATATATATATATATAAACATATATCCTTATTTATTCTCTTCCTTCCTTCCTTTTGTTCTGGGAATGGAACCCTGGGGTGCTTTACCACTGAGTTATCCTATCCTTTCTCAGACTCCCAAGTTCCCAAGTCACTGGGATTACAAACATACCCCACTGTGCCCAGCACTAATTCATTCTTTTTTTTTATGGACACAGTAGCTTTATTTTGTTTATTTAGTTTTTTTTATGTGGTGCTGGGGATCGAACCCAGTGCCTCATGCATGCTAGGTAAGCACTCTACCACTGAGCCACACCCCCAGCTCCCTAATTCATTCTTAATGCTATAGTGTCTCATATTTCTTTTTTAAAATATTTTTTTAGTTGTAGTTGGACACAATACCTTTATTTTATTTATTTTTATGTGGTGCTGAGGATCGAACCCAGCGTCTCACATGTGCTAGGTGAGGACTCTACAGCTGAGCCACAACCCCAGCCCCTGTCTCATATTTCTTCCTTGACATTGTTAGTGACAAAACACACTATTTTTTCCATTTTGGCTTGTTTCCTATTGGTTTAATCTGCTCTATAGATAAGCATGTAGATCAATTTTGGAAGCACGGAGGAAGCATGCCTGACATACTGGCTATCTTCTTCAGCTGATTTAACTACAGAGGGATGATGCTTCTGGCTACAGCTGAGTCCTCTGAGAAGAGCTGTCACTCAAAGTCCTACAGTATTTTGTCCCTTTATTCTTGCATTCCATAGTCTCTTATCAAAAAGATTTTAACTAAAAGAGGGGATCTATTATAGCAAATGAGATGCATATTCTTACACACATTTATACATAAAGTATTATATATATATATATATATATATATATATATATATATACTCATTTTTTGCTTAAATTTATATGTGAACATTCCTTCTCTTTTTTACCCATAATCTATGTTACACTGTGTAGGTGTAAATTCACAAATGCTACTTGAGCATATGTATTTATATACACCTTCCAGTATCTGCTCCTAGAATATCTACCTTATGCATTGCCCACAGCTTCATTTCCTCTACTACACAAAAGGATCCCAGGCCTTTAACAGCAGAGATGAGTAGCATAAGACTGCTGAGCTGGGCTGGGCCAGGCTTGGGCATAGGACATATGTGAATTCAAATGGAGTATTTCTGATTCTAAAGATCATTGTTTCTCATGGTCAAGTTATTAACATGTGATTTTGTGTAGTGTAAGGATATATGTCAGAGAGTGAGATTTTTAATTTGGATGTGATAGTGTTTGTGGGGAGGACTGTACAGATTTTGTTGGCTAATCTAATGAAGCCTCTCTCTCTCTCTCTCTATCTCTCTCTCTCTCTCTCTCTCTTTTAGTTCCTTGAGAAGATTTATATTGGGAAGAAAGATAAATGTGCATATAATAAGACTCTTATAAAACTTACTTGAGCATAGAAGAATCTTGGAAAGATAATTAGGCATATTTTATTGACTACATACTTGGCTATTGCTTTCCTGTTTTAAACATTAAGTAAAATTTATGATAAGTGTCCTAAGTGTCTTACTGTGGATATACAACTGCAACTTGTCAACATCCATAAATGTAAGATCTAATGCTACAAATATTTCTCATTGTTACCTGCTTCATTTTAGTTGTAGTTGGACATAATACCTTAATGTTTTATATATTTTATCAAATCTGAAATCAATAGTCACATGTATTCTTCTCACATTTTTATATCATTGTGAATATTACATAGGTAATATCAATTATTTGTAAAAATAAATGAAACAACAATAAAGGCAGAATTGCTTTATTGAATTTTTCCCAATTGCTATCCCTGGTTTTGAGTGAGTACCTCTTTTTCTTTTACTTTATAATATTATTTTTTTCACTTTGAATTAAGCTAGCTGAAGCATTTTCTTTTTTCTTTATTAGGCAGTTAATCTTGATGATAGTGTGTACCTATAATATAAGGTCATAGATCAGAAAGTTTAATGAAAACTCAAGATATCTATTTTAATTACTTAAAAAACTATTTTTATTAAAATATTACTACAAATGTTGTTAGTAAAATCAGAAAACATAGAATACTGGAAATATCAATAAGTCCTCAAGAGTAATCAAGGACCACTCTTTACTCACTGAAATGTATCCTTCTAGATCTTTCTTCATGAAACCCACTTAGGTCAATTTAATCAGAATGAATTTATTAAAAGAATATTGGCTCCTGCAGAGAATCTTTACAGTCAGAGGACCAGATTTGGGGTCTACCCTGCCTGGAACAATACCCAAATCCATACCTCAAATCTGATCTGGTAAAAACATCTTTGTTGATGTTCTGGACAAGTAATTGCAATCATGATGCATGGAGGTCGCCATCAGCAATGGATGTGGATGCCACCACCAGAGCCACAGAGCCACACCTCTACTATTTCCACATCAGGGTCACACCCACCTGTCCCAGTGTGTATTCTACCCACTCCACCTCAGAGTCTCTATTGAGGTATTTGATGGGTGGAACCCAGGTCCATACCTATGAGAGAGGCAGGCAGAGGAAGACTGCATATGGCATTTTCAGATTCTGCAGTGTGAGGAGACACACCTTTCATTTTTTAATTTTTTTAATTTAAATTTTTTCTTAATTTTTTAATTAAAAAGAGCAGAGGGATTGGGGATGTCGCTCAGTAAGAGAATATATGCTTAATATAAGAGTGAGGCCTTAGGTTCAATCCTTAGCATTGGTTGGGGGAAAAAGTATCACAAAGGGCTTTCCTTGATTAACACAATCATCCATTCTACAGAAGAAGGCACAATCATCTTCTCAAAAGTGGTTAATTCAAAGTTTATTCATTACTGCATCTGCCCTTAAATATAAAATCTCTGGGTGAGGGCCTTTCATCCTCTGATTCTGTCATGATGCCATCATGATAATCTGTATGCTCAACTAACTACATTATGAATTTGATCACCAGTAACACACCCTTAGTAGGGAAAGAGAAAGAAGAAGCTTTTTGGAAAATATGGTAGATATAACATGGTAAAAAAGAAAATGCATACAGGAGCAATGATATTCATTTCCACAACTGGTTAAGAGGCAATGGCTGCTATTATATAATTTCCCTCATCTATTTTCCATGCCAGATGCTTGTTATTTTTAGCTAGTCACTTGGCTGGTAGGAATTATATAATTAGTAGAGTGACCTAAACCTTTCTTCACAAAGAGTCTGGGCCTTGGTGATCCTGACACAGGACTTTTTATCACTGGATATGGAGGAACTCCAAGAGGTCCCCTGGTTTCCATGAATATTATAAATCAGTCTGCATTTGTTAGTGATCAGACTGCTACCCACAATGACTGGGTAGCAGTCTGAGCTTCTAAATCAATGGAACTATATTGTTTTTTGTTTGTTTGTTTCTTCTGGTGGAAGTCTTTTCTCAAGCTTTTAAATCATCAGAGCACAGTCCTGGGGCTAAGGAACAATTTTGCAGGTGAACCTTAAGGAGGCCTTTCTCCTAATGCCTTGGCTCTGAGACCCATGTTGTAAGGGTAAAAGAAATTGAAGTTGAAGTGTAAAAGTTAAAGTGTAAAAGACCGGGCATTGTAAAGTTTCTAAGCTGCAAGGCCTGAGTTAAAATGTAAAGGACTAGGTATTGTTAAGTTCCTATGCTACATGCAAAACCTGAAATTCCTGTAGCTGTTAAGACAATGCTTGGAACTGCCCAGTAAATATTCCCCCTGACCGCTTGGTTGTTTAATAACTTAGGGCCCTGTACGATCTTGCACGTAGGCATTGCAGGGCCTGGACCAATCAGTTTGAATGTGTACCCCGCTTTAGAACTGACCTATCACCCCCGCCCGACCTGTTCCCGCCAATGAATGAACTAATCATGTTTAGGAATTGTTGTTTGATTTTCCCGCGGTGTATGATGGTTTGTTAAAGGGGACTGTGATATATGTAAAATCCCTGCCCTCCCCAAAAAAGTGTACTTAAGCAGTGCTCAGCCTATGCTCGGGGCTCTGGGCTGCTTTCCCTTCTCGAGTGGGCATGGAGCCCCAGCATGCTGGATCAATAAATCCCCTTCTGCCAATTGCATGAGTGGTCTCTTGGTGGTCTCTTTCTCCGACGCTTCGCCGGACCCTTACATTGTGTATTCTGGCTATAGGAGAAAGGGCATTAGTTACTGGTTGAGTAAATAAAGTCATCCCTTAGTATCTGTTGGAATTGGTTCCAGGATGCCCTGAAGATAACAAAAATCTGTGGATGTGGCAGGTTTTTGACATTTAGTCCCAGGATTCCGAGTTCAGGTGCCAAGCAGAAAGTGGGCTGGCAGTGGGGGGGGGGGGATAGAACTCATTTCCTTCCCTGGCCACATCATTCCTGGATTTGTTATATTCAAGCCTGTTGCATGTCAGGGACTTGTTATTGGCTTTAATTACTGAACAACTAAATATTCAACAGCAGCAGTAGCCAGATCAGCTTTGATGCAGCTGAATCCACAAATTGCTGAACCCACATACAACGTGCAATTCTACCACCAATTCTACCACTTTGTTCATGATCCATTGGACCCTACTGGAGTGCCTGGAGGAAGGAGTAGGTGACACGCAGAGGACTGGTCAACTTTTCACCTGATTATTCAGCACTTCCTCTCTCAAGAAGGTCTTTTGATGAATATTTACAAAGAACTAAATATTGTCAAGTCTGTATCCATTCTCTGAGTCCATATATATCTCTTCCCTCAAACATTCTTGTCAATGGCCTTGTATTTCTGGGCCTTCCAAGTCTCAGGCTGCTGAGCTAAAACATCAGCTACTGACTATTAACTGATAATATCTGCGCCTCAGGCCATTTCTCTTTTCAGATACAGTGGTCAACAAGATATGTCTTAATTCATTTTATGTTGCTATAACTGAGTACCACAGACTGAGTAATTTGTAAAGAATAAGGGTGAGAATGTGGCTCTGTGGTAGAGTGATTTCTTAGCATGCATGAGACCCTGGGCTCAATCCCCAGCACTGCAAACAAACAAACAAATAAATAAACGGGGGATATGATTAAGCTCATGGTTACAAGACTGGAAAGTCCAAGATCTAGTAACTACTAGATCTGGTGAGGTCCTTCTTGCTGGTGGGGACTCCCAAGAGGCATAGGGCATCACATGGCAAGACAGAATATACTAGCTCTGCTCTCTCCTCTGAAGCCGCAGTCTCATCTGATTGGCGCCCCACCCTTATTGCCTCATTGAAGTTTAACTACCTACCAAATGTCTCACCTCTAAATATCATAGTCAGATTGTTTCCTTCCTCTTAAAACCTCAGAATGAGAGTTAAATTTCAGAATGAGTTTTGGTGGGGACGTTTAAACTGTGGAAAGATGAAATGTTTAAAATTCTGCTTTCTGGAAAATTTCCCTTCCCTGCTGATCTTCAGTACCACCTTTGAGTTGGGCTGTAATGTTGCAGCTGTCCTCTTGTGGCCAGTGCCCAGCTGTGCAGACTCGTAGGCTGAGGAGGAAAGGGTGGTGTGGTGGGAGTGGCACATCATGCAATCCGATGGTCTTCTCTGTCTGCTCAAGCCCCATCCAGTACAGAAGACTCCCACTGGATCATGAGATGCAATGCAGTTTGGCAATGAAACATAGGCACCTTGGAGCCAGGGGGTAGATTCTAACCAAGGTGTGCCCCCTATTAACTATAACTTGGACAAATTGCTTATCCCCTCTGTTCTGGTTTAGATATGAGGTGTCCCCCCGAAGCTCCTGGTTTAACATAGGAAGTGAAACGATTAGATTATGAGAACTGTAACTTAATCAGTGGGTTGATCCATTTGATGGATTAATAATTTGAGAGGACTAACTGGGTGGTAACAGTAGGCAGGTGAAACATGACTGTTAGAGAGAGGTCACTGGGGGGAGGCCTTTGGCGATTATTTCTTGTTTCCTTGGATCTCCTCTCTCTCTGTTACCTGGCTACCATAAATAAGCAATTTTCTCCCACCACCTCCCTTCCACTATGACATTCTGCCTCACCTTGGGCCCAAAGCAATGGAGTCTGTTGACCGTGGACTGAACCAAAATAAACCCTTTCTCCTCTAAATTGTTCTGATCGGGTATTTTAGCTTACAGCAAAGAAAAGCTGACCAACACACTCTTTCTGCTTTAGTCTTCTCATCTAAAACAGGGACCATAAAAAAAAAGACAGTACTATCTCCCAGAAATGTGGTAAGGATTAGAAGAAATGTTAGAAGTTCTTAGAACAGAGTCTGGCACATGAACACACACACACACACACACACACACACACGAAATGTTAGCTGACTTTACGGCTTGGTGGATCAGATAACCCCCTGTTTATCATGGGCATCTGTCACATGGTACCAACTGTGTCATCATCAGACTGCTGTATTTACTAGTGCCCAGCAAGAAGTCCTGATCTGTTTCTCAAAAGGGAGAACAGTTATTAGCCACAGGGTTTGTGGCTCGACTGCAAAACCCCGAGGATCTGTGCTATGCTTCTCCTTTCTGGACACACCAAAGCTCCATTCAGCAGCCACAGGTGCTGAAAGCACATTGGCTTCACTGGCCCAGAGGGCAGTGCTTCCTGGACTGGCTAGAAAACCTTCTCTTGCTTCATGCTGCTCTCAAATCTGGCAGCTTCTCAGATGACTAAAGAAATGAGCTGAAACAGCATGTCTAAATCTGACCTCCTTATTCCTTCTCAGCCTTTTGGCTAAGACCAAGTGTAAATCTGGCCTCCAAAATCCAAAGAGAAGTGCAAGATGCACACCATTCTATAGTATTTCCAACACCCAATATAATGAATATAAATAACCAGAGAGCATAGAAAACAATGTAAAGTTGTTCAATAATTAGGGAGTGATAAGGTTTTGAGTCATTACCTTTGTAAGGACTCGTTTATTTTGTTGTAAATATATATATATATGTGTGTGTGTGTGTGTGTGTGTGTGTTTTAATAATGGCCTCATTAAATTCCTGAGACTTTGTCAGGAATTTAGTGAGGTTTTACAAATCGGTACAACTGGTTTCCAGCACATTGTTGCTTGTAAGATTCAAGGCAGTGAGGGATGCTGGGGTGAAGAATGAAGAGGATGGATTTGCTAAGCCAGGTCAGCAAATCTAAGGTTAATTCCACAAAAAGATCGATTATTCCATTGCCCATGGAAGATGGGAAAACCTCATCACACATAGAGATGTGGAGATAATTTCTCTGGTGAGGACAATGGCATTTGTTCAGGTGTACCAAGAAGCCAGATGTTAAGGTGGGGTTAGATGTTCATGAACTTCATTAGGGAAGTAAACACGAAAAGATAAGGAGAGCTGTTAGACTGCGATGCATGTCTGATCTCTGTGGAAGGAAGGAGGATCGGTATAAGAAGAATCTTGGATCATAGTACAATGTGAATAAAGGTTCTGGAGGCCTAGTGAGGAGTCATAGTTGAAGCTGTCCAGAGGAGGAGTCTCAGAACTTGCCATAAGGTCTTGTCTTGGTACATCTGCTAAGTTCAGTCACTGGCTGGGAGTAGCCCATGGGCAGTATAACCTCAGTGTGAGGGTAGAGGATCCAGAGGAGGCAGCAGCTGAGTCCAAGAGCCAGTTATGTTCTCTAGCAGACCTTCGTGGTATGAGTTCATTAGGTTGGGAGTTTAAGGTACTTGAAGCCATCTGCATCTTCCCACATGTTCTCATTTCAGAATTCAGGGATTCGCTCTTTCCTGGTCAATGTTACATCTTCCCATCAGACATCTGGAAAAGCTATTAATTCAAATTATATTTTATTTTTATTTTTGATATTGGGGCTTAAACCCAGAGCTTCCCATGTGCTAAGCACACCGTCTACCACTGAGTTACACGTCTAGCCCAAGGACCCAATTTAGTTAAAAGCACAGGAGAAACAACCTGGGGCTTGGACTGGCATCTGAAATGGGGAAGGGGACAGTCTTGAGACTGAGCTCTCAACCTGTGGGACCTGATGCTATCTCCAGGAGGACAGCATCAGAACTGAACTCAATTAGAGCACACAGCTGGTGTTCAGAGTCGCTTGCTTGGTTTGTGTGGGAGAACGTGCACACATTTGATCATAGGAGCCTTCTCTATCAATTGTGGTGTGAAAACAGAGGAAACATATGCAGTTTGTTTTTCCAACACACATGGAAAGTGGCAAATGCTCTTAATGAACTGGATGAACTCACTAGGAATATTTTCTACAGAAAATGCTAGTTTCTATTCACTGCTTATAATAAAATTCACAAAGAGATAAGCAAACGGGACAGCTAAAAAGGAACTGGAATTTTATGGTTTTGAAAATGACTAGTCTCACACATGGGGAATGATGCTTAAATTTAAGAAAATTTAGAGCAGAGGGCAAATCAGGGACACTTCCTGCAACATGGTCTAAAGATGAATCCAAGGGTGTGAATGTTAAATCTCTTGTTAAGACCTCAGAAAGATCAAAAGCATTGCCTCAGAGTCCCAGTCACTTTGACAAAAGACCCACTAAAAATGCTATGGATTGCTGCACAGATTCTTTGGATCAGACAACAGGGCTTCTAAGAAGCTGAAGGATGTTCTTCAACAGAAACCCAAGGAAGGCAAGAGCTTAGCTTAAAGAGATTTGGGGCTTTGACTTTTGAATAATTGTGTGGGCCCAATAAAATTCACTGGAGACCCATAGAGTTTTTCAAAGAATCATATTGGCATAAACATTGCCATCTTGGGCTAAAAGGGTCAGAGACAGTACAAAATGAAAAGAACCCTTTGGGTCTGTAAAATTCAAATAACAGAAAGCTAATGAGAGAAATTCTTAGCTGTGAATGTGTGATTCCACTGTAGAACACATGACTCAGGACAAAACCCAGACAGCGGAGTCAAAGTCCTGGAGAATTATTCTCAGACATTAGCAGGACACAATTCTAATGGAGGAAGCCCCAGCACTTCCTTGGTTGGTTAGTTAGTTAGTTGCTACAGAGCATTGACTCCTCTGGGTTCCCAGTTTCCCTCTTTCTGTGGTGACTGTCCTACGACTCTGCTACCATAGTCTGCTGGGTGGTTGTGGTGGGGTGCAGTTAACTTGTCTC